CGCTTGAAATTAATTTTCGCTATTTTCGCTAAAGGAATAATCCAGTGAAAATAAAATCCAGCAAAAATACCTTTTCCCTATATATTACATTAAACTCATCAAAAATCATTGAAAATAAATTCCATACAAAACACCCAAAAAAGTCTTTTCAGCGAAAATTAATTCCAGCAAAAATAAAGTATTTTACAGTAGTAGTCTATTTATATGAATTTGAATGTTAGCAGTACACATGTGTATTTTAAACAGTTTATTTTTCATGACTAGAAATGTTCACAAGTTAGGAAATTTGTTGGCATTTGTGAAAACAAATGTGTGATGTTTGAGGGACTACTTTATTTAATGCGTCAGAATACATTTTATTTTTGTAATGATGTTATATGTCACCTGATCACCATGGACTGATATATGAAAAATAGTGCACTTGGTGTAGCTCAAAATGGTGGAATAAACAATAAGCTCTCACTTGTTTCTAAGTCAACACACCATAGTACGCGTTGTTCAAACTTGAACAATATGTTGGTGTATACATTTTAAGGTAACACACATACAAATATAAACATGACAATATTATGGAAATGTTATACTACTTAGAATGTAACCATGTATGGTTAAATCTTGGGGAGAAGTGATATCTTGGGGAGAAGACAAATACCATATAAGTAATACTCACTGTTGTCAGTTGCGTCTTTACGAAATACAATGTGGATCTCGTCACCGTGTTTCAGTTCAACTTTCTAAAATAATTAGACAAAAATAAACAAATTACTGTAGAATACTTTATTTTTGCTTGGAATTAATTTTTGCTATGTAAAAATAAAATCCAGCAAATATACCTTTTTTCCTATATTTTACATTAAACTCGTCAAAAATCACTGAAAATAAATTCCATACAAAACACCCAAAATGTCTTTTCAGCGAAAATTAGTTCCAGCGAAAATAAAGTATTTTACAGTACCGGTATTGTAAATTACAATATTTTGAGGTAATTTTGATATTCGACAACCAATTGTGACATGCAGTCACTAAGACAAGACTAGTGGTATTGAAGTAGAATTAATTTTAGTCTATTGAAATTTTTAATTCAATCATTTCACTGGATTTTAATTCACTGACTTTACAGTGAAATAATGCATTCTAATAATGCATTCTATAGTTATTTTACATGTTCACATGGATTTAATTTAGCAGATTTCAGTTATCAGTGAAAATAGCAAAGTTAAAAGCCAGTGACCAATTGTTGTGTTTACAGTACTAGTGATAGGTGCATGACCACTAATGTAGAGAAATGCAAAAATAAATGGGCATTCATTTTCATTTCATGTTCATATTTCACAACAACTAGATTTATACAACCAGTGTTCAGGATTTATACAACCAGTGTTCATGATTTATTCGACCAGTGTTCAGGATTTATACAACCAGTGTTCATGATTTATTCGACCAGTGTTCAGGATTTATACAACCAGTGTTTAGGATTTATACAACCAGTGTTCAGGATTTATACAACCAGTGTTCAGGATTTATACAACCAGTGTTTAGGATTTATACAACTAGTGTTCAGGATTCATACATCCAGTGTTAATGATTAATACAACAAGTGTTCAGGATTCATACATCCAGTGTTAATGATTTATACAACCAGTGTTTAGGATTTATACAACCAGTGTTCAGAATGTATACAACCAGTGTTCAGGATTTTTACATCCAGTGTTCAGGATTCATACAACCAGTGTTCAGGATTCATACAACCAGTGTTTAGAATTTATACAACCAGTGTTCAGAATTTATACAACCAGTGTTCATGATTTATATAACCAGTGTTCAGGATTTATACAACCAGTGTTTAGAATTTATACAACCAGTGTTCAGAATTTATACAACCAGTGTTCAGGATTTATACATCCAGTGTTAAGGATTTATACAACCAGTGTTTAGGATTTATACAACCAGTGTTTAGGATTTATACAACCAGTGTTAAGGATTCATACAACCAGTATTTAGGATTTATACATCCAGTGTTAAGGATTTATACATCCAGTGTTCAGGATTCATACATCCAGTGTTTAGGATTTATACTACCAGTGTTTAGGAATTATTTACTTTAAGTTTAAAAGATTCGTTTTTTTTTTTTCTTTAAGTTTTATTTGTTATATTTTTTTGTACTTCCTTTAAGTCTGTTTCTTTTTTCATTTATATAGTACATGTATGTGCTTTATTCCAATAATTTTATTGCAGCACCTAGTTACTTATTAGTGAGCCCCTGATGTTAAAAGGGTTCAGGATTTTTCCTGCATTTCACTACAATTATCTGATATTTAACTAACCTGTCCTTTATTGACCTTGGTCTTCATATTGATCAAAGTTCCATTAGTACTAGAATGAAAGTAAAAAATACAGCATTATCAACTTTTGTATTAATAGCAGATATATGATCTACTTTGATGAAAGAAAATGCTTTACATGTGACTTATAAAGGACACATGCAGTGAGCAGTCAAAAATACCACAATGACAGCCAGAGCTGAAAACAATGTTTTTCTGTTGATCAGAATTGTTGTATGTTTTCGGTACATGAAATGATGCAGTTTCAAATTCAGTGTAAAATACTTTATTTAAGCTGGAATTAATTTGAATTGAAATTTTCAACTATTGTTGATGAGCTGAATGTAAAATATTGGAAAAAAGTATATTCACTGGATTTAATTTTCACTGAATTCATCCCTTCAGCAAAAATAAAGTATTTTACAGTAATACACAACAAAGATCATATTTTGGCAATAAAACCGTACATCGAGGTAGAGTACAATGGGAACAACATTTGACCTTGAACCAGTAATTATTCAGATAATATACAAAGGATAATGATAATCATAATTTGATAATATTAAAAAATTACCTCGTATCTTGTAACCATGTTTTCATTGTTTTTGAATCTTTTATTATTTTACAATGTTTGCCCGATACCATTTTATTATTATTGATTGACAGTTCACACACTGTGGGGAAAAAATTATATGCCATAATCAATAAACAATATCTGGATGTTTTGGTCATTTTTTTATACGCCAACTTTCACAGCAGCAGTAAAAAAAAAAAGTTACCACACATACTTATATTGGTACAGCAGTAATTTCAAAAAAATTGCAAGTATCTGTTCATTTTTGTGGAGTAATCTCAGCAAACACATTGACGTTTAAAGGGCGGTGGTTGTTGTGCTGTGTCTTGTTCGATATGAGACTCATAGCGATGTACACAACGCGTGTAAAATACATTCTCTGTATACATGGAATTGGAGCATGCGCTACACGACGGCTAGCGCCCTTTAAATATAACACATGGTCATATCTATGCAAAAATGTAAACAAATAAGTAATAAATAAATAAATCAACAACGAGCTGCTGGAATTGACAGAATGAAAATCATATAACTGACACTATGATTGATTTCCCAATGTTTTTTTTTCTCTAGAAACCATGCCAACCAATTTGCTTGGATGATAATGGCTCCATGCTAAGATATAACAGCCATTGAAAAGATTGAAGCGGGAGGGTCGTCACTCGCGCACGCGCGTGAATTGAGTCCCAAGCGACGATAACAACACATGCTAAAAACACAAAGGCTCATGGGTAGACGCTTGTTTGTAAACAACGACAGCGTTGTGTCGTCACCGGAAGCGCTGTCCCAGCACAAACGGTGTAGAAGACGCCGAACTGCAGCGTCAATGCAACGACAGGCTATGGCCTTCTGACGCATGTCCCCCCCCCCCCCCTTTAAAGAGGTAAAGCTTGAAATTCCCCATTGTAGAACATCTCGTGTTGGAGGTCTTGTGACATAAAATACATCTGTATTGCTAGCGGCATGCTGCAAGGAATGCCCCATATAGGATATACTCGCATATGCACACACTAAGATGTATTCGACAGGATGTTTACATTCTGGTCATTTATGATGTACATTTCTAAAGTTGTAACATACAACTGATTAGTTTACTATCACGTACGCTATCGTGTACACTGACAGACGAAGGCTATCCAGACCCAAAACGACGCGAAGCCACGGCTACTGTCTCAGTGGTGTATTACCGGCATCCCTATCATTACCGTACTCGAGTGACATATTGCGAGCATCACGTAAACAAAACAGTAGTACTACAGTCTGATTTCGCTTACTTTGAGCTCTACCGATAGTGAATTCATCGCTTGCGATTATAATTGGAGAAGAATCTACTTCCGTCGTCGACACAAGTTGTGCCCATGCTTCATCGTTAACCGACATCTTCAATTTACTTTTAAATTTACTAGTAAAATATACAGTCCTTGCGTAAAGTTGTGATGACTCAGGGTGCAAACTGTCCAATGACAACATTGACGGGGTCAGAGTTCACAAACATGCCTCAACAAGTTTGTCAGTTCGCACCATGTTTCTTCCCTCAACTGATTTACAAGCAAAGCACTGACTGGTGATGTTGAGGGCGTAATACACGAGTACCATGATGAAGTCTGCTCTTCGTTCTCAGAAATAATAGTAGACCACTCGTAAGATATATGAAAATGTTTGATTTAAATGTAATGTGAGAATTTTTTATGGTAAATGTTTGTAATAATAATAATTATCTTTATTGCGTTCGTATCCCTATTAGGATTTTGATTAAAATGCAATACAGAAGTGAGTAAAGACAAACAAACAATTAAAGTGAGAATAAAAATACACACAGGAAAATAAAAAAATAAATAAAAAACAACTAGCAAATAAAAGTAGAAAAAAATAATGGTAAAGTAAATTGAATTGTGTTGGTGAATGTTTAGATTACTATTGCATGTACATGACCTTATCTTGAGATAGCTGACTATAATTGTATGTTTGTATGTTTTATATATTTGTATGTTTTATATATGTGTTTTAGCAGTTAGTGTAACCATTATAATTCCTTCTGAGGAATTTTAAGTGTTTCAATAAACCATAAACCATAATGTTTTCAGTTTTTCCTCTCTTGTTTTGAAACCGTTCTCTATGTATTTTGCTATTTGTATTATTGGTTTCTCATCTTTATTATTTAAAATATATTTCAATTTTTCTTTATTGTTGGGGTGATAACAGCTGATAAAGTTTTTTTTCTTTCTCCCGCGTAGAGATCACATGTTAAAAGGAAATGTTTTTTGTCCTCTATGGCGTTATTTTCACAACATAGACATTTTCTGTCAGATATATCTGTGTTGTTAC